AACACAACGCCCCTTTTCTTTCATCTGCGCCCCGTTGTACGTTGTCGTGGCCCACGGAGCAGATGGAGACCACTTTCAAGGTTGGTGGGAGTGCCTCGATAATGTCGCTGTGGAATCCGCCCACAAGCACGAAGCCAAGCCAGGCGCCGTAGATGGCCGAAATGTCGTGGAACTTGGTGTGGAAGTCGGCAATGACTTCCTCACGCGTCGAGGCGAGCGTATGGTGGATGCACTCGAACTTCTCCAGAAACCGTTTGTAGTGGGGCAAGCTGGTGTTCAAGTCGCCGAGAATAAGCACCTTGGGCCGGGTCATTTTCGGGTTTTGGTGTTTTTGGTTTCCGTTAGTTGTGGGTTTCAGGCCGTTTCAGTGGCTTAAAAAGGAAGTGCGTTCCAGCGGATATTAGACTACGCTATTTGCTGTAAAGAAGCTGTGTTCTGGGACTAGATCACCTTTGTTAACGACACCTAGATAAGGTATTTTTCAAACGCCGGCTCCGCGGATGCAGGCCGTGCGACATTCGCCGGTACTATCCTGCGTCCAATGGGTCCAGCTGCGTTAACGCGCGTATACGATTAGCCGAGGTTGGCGGCCACTCATGAAAGGGTCGTTCTAGGATGGGCCTGGAGTATATACATTTTTACTTTTTCTGGAGCCTTAGTCAAACACAGTGAAATCATATGTTTTGGGGCAATGAAAACGGTAGTGGTTTTTGAACTTGAGCCGCTTCTGGCTGCTTGGGGCTACTGAACCAGGGTCCAAATTACGCTAAGCGATATATGCCATCAAGATACGAATTAGACTGAAGCGCTTCAAGAAATGAGCTACGTGACTTTATTATGCTCTACGTGGAATTATCATAGAGGTATTCTGGACTTCACTAGTCTGCAGCATTCAAAGGACCACGCCAAATCATCATAGTTTTTGAGTTATTGACGAGATCCCAACCATCGTAAAACGATAGGAAGGAGCACTATATAAGCGACTTTATGTAGTCATCGTTCTCAATAACATCCATAGTTCTTATCCTCATACGGAGAATTATTCTGGAAAATCCAACCAATCACTTCAGAAAGCACTTAGACGTGGATCTCGTTCAGTTCTCGAGGGTGTAGAGTGATTTTTCCTGACTGTCAATCTCCAACCACTTCTAAAGATGAAACTATGGATTAATTACGAGTCACTAGATAATCAAGATTCATCGGTGGGCTTTATCTGCGTAGAAAAAGTCTTTAATAGTGTGCATCTCGAACAAAAAAGGTTTGAGAAAAGCCTGCGTACGAGTTGATCGCTAAATAGAGTATATTTCACAACTGAGTCAAAGGAGAGGAAATTGATCATTCTGAACTGCATAAAATGTTGTTTCTTGAGTCTCCCAAATTACTACTAGAATATGATTTCACTTGTGCAATTGCCAAGATAACATCCAGCCAAAGACAACCACAACCACAACTTTCTGCATCAAAAATGGCTCAATCCATACCTTGCTTCTTGAATTTATATTCTACCATTCTTCAGTAGCATTAGAAGTCTTCTTTATTGGATCCCGTTCCTCCTGAATCAGCTACGTAATACAGCTTCTGAAGCCATGAACTTAAAGATATCTTAAATTGAAATTTGTCCTCGGGTGGTGATTAGCAAAAATGCGCAGATGTCTCTCTTCTGCGTTACAGAAACTTTTGTATTATAGAGTCTTTTGTTTATTCAAAAATCTAACAAGTTTATAAAATTGCCCTTGTTCAATGATTTCACCATTTAAGTGAATTCACGAGCACGCCTAAAAAAAAGCTACAGAGAGAGCCATATATAATATTCCAGTCATTATGGAAGCCTTGTTTTATCAAAGGCCACGAAAATTAGCCTGGTTTCCCAAAACAATAATATCTGCAATGATATTTGGTTAAAAGCCAGGGGTCAACCACGGTTCTAGCATAGTAAAAGAGTGTGTACACCTCGAGGAAAAGACCCAGTTTGAATCACAGCACTGAATATAGTGACCAAAACCAAAGTAAGCAAAATGATATTTAGAAAAACCACCAGCTCAAAAAACTTCACTCCAAAGCACAAATTACCGTTTTTTTGGCTTCCACACTTCTTTTGACAAGAATAGAAAAAACAATATGAATGGATATCTTAATCCAATCATGCTCTTCATTGCGCGAGATATAGACTGAGGCAGATCAAACAGATACGTTCAAAGGACGGAATGAGCTACAAAGTCAAAAAGACACAGAAACTGTGATCTTTACACCTTCAAATTGGTTCTAATTCAAGCATTTCTCTTAAGTGTTTGTGCTTGAACTGAGCCCTAGACCTCCAAATTATTTCTACGAATGAAGTATTGGGACTCTAAGTCAATACTTTATGACTCCTATCATAGAAACAAGACAGTGAACTAGAGGAGCTTACATAAAGGTATTCTGGTATCTTCGAGATTTTTGCTTCATATATACGATGATCGGCTTGCAACTTTGTATATTACACGAGCGGTTGTGTCCTTTGGGTCTGGAATATATCAAGGATCTGTATTAGCCAGGATTATTTCCACAAGGTCATATAAACTTCAAATCAAATCTACCGCTATCAGTATTCTACCCAGTAAACTTGTGAAAGGTTTGCTGATAGTCAAATAAACCTCATTTACGGTGTGATTATTTCAGCAATTTCCACCAATGAGTAGTATATGGACAGAATAACAGAACCTGGTCCCAAAGGATTCATGTCCAAGTTGAAGATTGGTTTCACGGAAAGGTCAGGGAGAATTTGAAGGCGGTAAATTGCATAACCTCAAGAAATGAATCTTGAAGTAGCTTACTAGAGCATATGTATGAGGCGCCTTCTTTGATGTCTCCTCTCAATAACAAGATCCATCTGCTTTGAGTGGGCACCAGCAAAACTCGTTCATTGTTGTTTGAATCCCATACACATAGGGCATGTGGACGACATTTGTATTCTGACATGCCCCAGTAATCAAAGTGAAATGCATGTAAGATATTTTTGGCGTCTAAAAGAGGGATTTTACAAAATATTGCGTGAGTGACATGAAAGGACCGACGACTTATTGGGTTATAAGAGATCCCAAAGTTGCGGGCTTTCTGCAAGTTCACGAAATATATAACCCGGATCATTCCGGGTCCTCCAGAGTGAATATAAACAGACATATGCTGCGGTGACTTGGAATGAAGAGGGCAGCTGGCCTCTTTCAAGACCACGTATAGCAAACCTACATACTCATACACAAGCTGACAAGGACAAAACAAAGCCAAGCAAGTGAAATTCTCCCGTAACTCCACCCTGAGCCCGATCATGGATCCAGCCCCCCATTCCTACAGCTACAGACCAATATCTATGCGTGATTTTATTGAAAACGTGCGAGTCGCCTGCCTCAGCAGCCCTAGTGGTGGTGGTGGCCTGGCTCACCAACGTACTTGGCGGCATACACAGAGCCACATTGCCAGCATCTGCCGGGGTTACCCTCCTCGACCTTCATCCAGTAAGGCTTGTGGTCCTGGGTGTCATGGCCTCTGCAGCCGACGTAACGGTAGCCAATGTACGTGGGCACCATGTATGGGTCCTTCATCGTGCCCTTGCCCTCGAAAATGGGGTTTTCCATGTCGAACACGTCGACACCCTCCATCTTACCCAAAATCTCGAATCTTTCCAAACCAGTGGCCTGATCGATGTCGGTGGGGATGGTGCCTGGCGTGGCACCAGCTCCGATCAACGAGGAGTCGGGGCCCGTGACATCGGCCAACTTGGTGGCGGTCTTGGACTCCAACTTGGTGGCGGAGAACACTATTCTGGACGAACTCAACGTTCTGCTTTGTCTGGCAACGCGTGCAATTGTACGAGAGAGCCTATGTTGGTTAGTATATTTGGAGGCGGGGAAGAGAGGGCGGACTTCTAAAAAGCCCACCGCAAGGGGAGCTGCTGGTGATGTGGTGGAGAGGTGCTGTTGGCGGTGCTCGTGAATGACTTTCTTTTCTTAGGAGTCCACACGCCAGCGCTGGCCTGGGTGTCTGCATCTGGCGTCATGCCCTAAACATTGACACGTGAAATCGGCCTTGTTTTTTGTGTACGCAGACACGTGGCGTGGACTGGGCCCGGCGGGTATGTCCCTTTTGGGGTGCCCCCTACAAGCGTGGGCGGGTATTTAGGGGGATACTTCCAGAGCGAGAAAGCAGACCTGATTCCAGGTTGGGCCTGTTCCGGGCTTTGCGTTTGTGCTCGAAAATGCCCGGGACTTTGGCGGGCCGGGTCCGAAAGGAACGCAAGAAGAAGGAGGTGTTTGTTGTTCCTAGCATTTACGGGAAGGCCAATGTGGGGTTCCCCAACGACACAAGTGATAAGGACAGAGTGGGACGGGTCACGTGGAGACCTGTGGCGGGGAGCTAGGGCCTTGCTGGTTTGGAAATGCACACATACATTTTTATCTTGGTTGTAGTGGTATTGCACTGACGTGGATGCTATCTCTAATTAGTATAGCGAGATGAAGGAGAAAAATCAGGCGACACGCGCGAAACACCTCCAGCTCATTGGCTGGGCGGGCCGGGTACGCACGTGACGCGGGATCACGTGACATAGGGCCCGACACCGGGATCCGCCTCCATCAGTCCATTGCTGGGGCGGGTGAATTCGCTTGTTTTGTAAAAGAGGGTGACTGGAGGCAAACAGGCAAATTTGAGCTGTGGAAATGGCGTTTCTGCACATAACTGGGGGTTATTACAGGAACCAGATGGGCACCTGCCACGATTCCACATTCTGTCTGTCAGTGGGGAAAAATATCGAAAATCAAGCAGAAGTCGAAAATCAACACATCTTCATGACTCCTGGCCTTGTATGGGAATCAGAGACCGCTACTTTATGATTTACAGCTGTCTTAAGGAATGACTGCGCTCGCAGTCATTTGTCACCCAGGTGATGCGCAATAAATGAGAGCAACTATGGGGTACAAGAAATGTACTCTATTTTTCTTTTCTACATGTAGCCATTCGGAAGTCCAATTGAATCATGCTTGTGGCTATTTCATGGTGACTTGTTTATTGAGTCAAACCTAGAGGCTTGACAAGCCGGGAGACGGGAAGGCCGGCCGTCACGTGACCCCAAACAGCCCACTCTCATTTCCACTGGCGGCCTTCTCGTTTCAGACATGTATTTTTGAATTAGTGCCGGGATAGCTCAAGATATGTCTTGATTGATACGCTATGGCGTGGTCTTTACTCGTTCATTTTTGTTGACTGTCCTCTCATACGTATGGCCGCGATCACGTGTTTCGTTATAATCTCTGGCTCCCAGTTGGTTTTTGCACAGGTCACTAAAAAGCACGCCAGATCAGATTTCCATGCCCAGAAGTAGCTCTCTTGCAACGATTACGTTTCTAGTTATTTCGGCTTTCGAGTCTCGCAGCCATTCTGTGGATTGGGCTGTCTCATATAAGTCATGAGATCTGCAAACCACGCCGCAAATTGCAAAAACGAGAGGCCGGTTGCGCACGTGACTTCTACATCCATATTGCATGCACAGAGTGAAACGGTACGGACACATATATACAGCACCCGCGGCCCTGGCGCAGGGGATCAGAAGATGCTATACCAGGCGTGCCGGGCCGAGCCGAGCACGTGACCCATGGTCACGTGATGTACATCTCCCACGCCGCCTGCTACAGCTCTACGAGCCCAAATTTTGCAGAAGGCCCGCATACCGCTCGTATACGTCATCACCAGAACGGGGCGTATGGCAACCGCCAGCCAACGTGTCGACCTGCACACAAGACGGACCCGGCTCTAGTGTCCACCCAAATTGCTTTCATCGAAATCTTTATTTTCCCATTCCGGGGCATATGATCCCCTTTCTGATTAATCAGGAAATCTCGCCACAGGCACTGTGCTCGGTTTTTGGGTGGATGTGGCCGTGCAGTGGCCTTCTCAATATCCGCTTCAGGGCTGCAGCCCTAATCATTATTCGCCCTCACACTAACGTGAGCACGCAGCATGCAGGCCGGCAGGCTCTCGCGCACTGGCTCTCTAAAGAATAAATTTTTTCAGATTTCTTAGTGCTGGTTTTTCTCTATATCCAAAAGGTATGTTCTAACCATGCGGCCATAGCCCAACACGCCCAAATCCTGACCCAAGATCCCTGATGTACAGAAATAAGCCGGCGCTTGATTTGTGGTGATATTAAGAAATGGATATTACTTCACATGTCTTTTAATCTCTATTGCTGTGGCCTATCAAGTCAGGTGACCACACTTCATATTCTTCAATGTGTTTGTTTGTTCTTGACAAACAAAAGACGGAAACAAGGAGAAAAGTGACATTTTGTCCATAGAAACATTATTCTATCCGCCGGCCACAGAACCACATGCATCATTGGGAGTTTTTTCTGGGCACTCTCCCCTCGCTTCTTACTAACATTCCAGCAACATGCCAAAGAAGAGAGCTTCCAACGGAAGAAACAAGAAGGGTAGAGGCCACGTCAAGCCAGTCAGATGTTTGAACTGTGCCAGATGTGTGCCAAAGGACAAGGCCATCAAGAGAGTCACCATCAGAAACATGGTTGAGGCTGCTGCCGTCAGAGACTTGTCCGAGGCTTCTGTGTACCAAGAGTACGCTTTGCCAAAGTTGTACAACAAGTTGCACTACTGTGTTTCTTGTGCCATCCACGCCAGAATCGTGAGAGTCAGATCCAGAGTCGACAGAAGAGTCAGAACTCCTCCTCAGAGAAAGAGATTCACTCAAGACAAGAAGGTCTCTCCTCAAGATGCTGCTAAGAAGGCCGTCTAAGTGTCCGGAAGGGTATTTGCAAATAGGTCATTGACTGTAATATAAAAAGTATACATTGGCTCTGTAGACGGCTGGTCGTAGGGCGGAAGTTTTTTTCGCCTGGCGTCTGTATTTCGCTACGTTTTTGAAGCTGCCTCCACAAAGCTCCATTGTTAAGGTTTGGAGCAGAATACTTGCATGTATGATTGGTGTCTGAAGACTGTGCTGATCTTCCAGATTTCTTAACTTCGAGGCTCTTGTTACCTAGGGCATGAAAAGTTGTAGAAGATCGCATAAAAATGAAAAAGATGCTGAAGCCTCACGTGTTGCCTGTTGTATCTCCTATATACGCTGCAGCATGGACCTGTTAATGGGCAGATTTGCCACTATACGCGGCACGCTTGAAATACGGCTCCCAAAAACCCTTGTAGTCCCAAGACTAGAAATGGACTAAATTCTGGGGTGATATAAACTTGCACTTCCAACGCTGCTTCCCAGCGGTTACGAAAATGAAAAACACATTGGAGGGCAGTGTTTGTGATTCACTGTCAAGATGCGGGAGCGGCCGGCGTGGTTGAATATCAAGCGTACCTATGCTAGAGAGATGATCTTGCGAAAATCGCTGAAGCTTGGAAAACTAGTATCACCGAGTTAAAAGCACCACATTAGCCAGGGGCAAATAGTTGACCAGGAGCGACATTATTGCATAGTTTTGGGTAAGGATTTGCAGACAGTGACATTCGACTTTCGGTTTTCTGAGGCCACTGCTCAAATTACTTAAAGTTGCAGACATATACACAAGTCAAACCAACCAGACAAAAAGGTATGGGACACAAGAGCGCTTTTTGAAAAGCTACATCCCCTTTTCTGTTGATTTCGCTAATGAAACGCCGCTTATTTGGAAAACACAGTTCATGCTACCTGTTTCATCAATAGGTAATTGAGCAAAGAGTTCAAGACGAATACTCAGATGAGGTGCCCAAAAACGCCAGTCTTAACACATAAGCCTGTGAAATTTGTGTTGAATAACTGCAAAAGTAACCCAAGTAACTTTCGAGCCTGGGATTAATTATCCAGTGTTTGTGAATATCCGCAAGCAAAACGCTTATTGCTTTTGGTTTATGCCCCAGTTTTCCACATACAAGCCATTCTTTGTCTTTGCTCAGGATTAGAGATCAAGCCTTTGGGAAATTTAAACCCGCATACTGAATTACCTGAAGTGAAGTACTTTGTTGAATTGAGTACAGGTTGGAATGGTTGAAATGTTTCGGAGCCCTAGAGGACATGTGGTTTATTTCTAGACGCCAAGGCACATAGAGACTGAACATCGCAATTTATTCGAATTCCTGAAGAAGAATAGATGAAATTAACACCTACAGACTTGGTTTCAACTGTACACGCACTGAGAGCAAAAGAGCTGTAGGCTTTTTTAATCGGTTTGATGACAGTTGAGCAAGGGAAGACACAAAGCGTTGAAGTGGAGATATTCGACGTGTAATCTAATCGAGACGAGCTGTTTTGTGACCATTGGAAGTTGTCTTTTCACGCGACTCGAGTTCATGAATATAGCGTGATATTTGATTTATTTCCACTTTTATTTCATAAGGGCTAGGATCAATGGTTGAGTATTATTCCAGTACAAATTGTGGATAAACGCTCGTCGGGATAATTGCAAAGTAAGACTTGAGCATCTACATGGTTAGTGTCAAGATTGGTGGGAAATCCTTTCGCATTGTATAAGAAGGCTTATGCTCCGGTTCCTGCTGTGTCTGGTAAAAAAACGATACATTTTCTCGGAAACCTGAACTTTCTGGAGTCTGTCATGACAATGAAAAGGTTTTTGGAGGGTTTGGCCAGCGTGTTGTACCAGAACTAAGGGGAGGCATTTTGCATTCTCTTGCTTGAAAAACTTGTAGACACCACGAATACTTCTATGAAAAGCCTCGAACTTTTTTCGAAGTTCACTTGAGCTTTAAGATCCCCGGAAAAAACCCATGGGTTTTTATGGCCTATACTATTTCACAGTCAGTGGAAGAAGGCTTCAAGCAGACGCCTTGGTTCGCTTTCCGCGTCCAATATACTGGGACCACCGAACCCACCATGCTCACGCGACGCGCTATTGTGAGGCCGCTAGATGGCCATTAAAGTGATGGGCATACATTACATTGTACCTGGGATCTTGGTGAGACAAAATGTGTGACATGGATTGTGTGATAGGTAAGGTAGGGCTACTTGAGATTATTTCTTCGGAGTAGTTTTTATGGAGCCCCATGATGCAGTCACCTATATGCCGTGGTGACATGTGGAGAATATAGAGGCCCGTCTGATTTATTCCACCCTGTATTTTACCGTGTCCTTTCATGTCCATCTCCATCACATTGCATCTACATGGCCAGAACCATCACTTTCTGAAATAACATCTGCATTCAGCTACACGTGGCCAACACCCATCATATTATAAACACATGCAATCTACTTCATCAGGTTCTTCTCATCTTGACCTGATCCACATGGTTCCATTCACAATGTCCATACCTATGACGGAGCTATACAATCATGTGTAGCCGATCGCCTCAAAGCATATCATATCGGATCACATCGCATCAGTATAAGGGAGGTCAATATGAAGCACATTAATCTAAATCACATGAATATAAAGCTTACAAATCTAGATCACAACAATATGAAGCACATCAATATAACGTACAACAATCTAGATCACATGAATTTGAATCACATGAATCTAAATCACATGAATACAAGGCACATCGATATAAGGTACATCAATAGTTACATCAATATAACGTACAACAATCTAGATCACATCAATGCAGATCACATGAATCTAAATCACATGAATACAAGGCACATCAATATAAGGTACATCAATATAAGGTACATCAATATAAGGTACATCAATATAAGGTACATCAATATAAGGTACATCAATATAAGGTACATCAATATAAGGTACATCAATATAAATCACATACATAAGGCACGTTGATATAAAGCACATCGCTGTAAGGCACATAAATACGAAGCACATCAATCTAACTCACACCAATCCACATCACCTTAATCCAGATCACATCAATCCAGATCACATCAATCTAGATCACATCAATCTAAATCGCATACTTATAAATCACACCAATCTATATTACATCAATTTAAATCACATCAATACAAAGCACATCAATATAAGGTACATCAATGTAAATCAAGTCAATTTTAATTACACCAATAAAATCATACCAATATAAGACACATCAATATAAAGCACATCAATGTAAGGTGCATAAACATGAAGCACCTCAATCTAGACCACCTCAATCTAATCACACCAATCCAAATCGCCTTAATCCAGATCACATCACTATCAATCACACCATTTACATGACATCATTATCAGTCACACCATCTAAATCACATCCTCATAAATACACCATCTAAATCACATCCTCATGAATACATCATCTGAATCGCATCATCATAAATACACCATCTAAATCACATCCTCATAAATACACCATCCAAGTCATATCCTCATAAATACACCATCCAAGTCACACCCTCATAAATACACCATCTAAATCACATCC